GGATGGTGGGGTGGGTGGCCTCCCTTCTCCTTATCTCTGGGTTCATTCACATGGAAAGAGGCCCGTGCCCAGCAGTTCTGTTTACTCTGCATTCTCTGACCATTGTACATGAAATTGATCGGGGAGCGGGGGTGTTTTTCTTCTTTTTCCCCAATCTCCTTATTAGTTCAGCCTCAGAAAGCCCCTTATCAACCCCGGATGTCAGACCACGCTCTGCCATCAGGCCTGTCCATGGCAGACTCTCCATTAATTGATTTTGCCCTCCCGCCTTGGGAAGCACAAAGTGGCTCTGCCCATTAGCAGCAATAATTCCCTGAAAGGGATTATAAATCATGCCTGATGTCCACCCATCGCTCACAGCAGAGTGGTGTCCAGGTGGGGGTAGTTGGACAGGGAGATAGAATATCTGATGGGCAGGGAGGTCCTTGCAGCCCTGCAGGTTGCCTCCTAAACCTTGCCAAATGCTGACCTCACAAGACCACAGCAGACTAGGAAGAGTAGATAACACAAGTTTCAACACCTAGAAGGTACTCTGCATGTGTAGAATAAGTAAAGGAAGGAAAGGAGGGAGGAAGAAAGGGAGCTCTTGAATTGAGGTCTCCCCCAAAGTTCACCATTATGGCACCATTTTTTTCTTTTTGGTTTTCATGACCTTAGGATTTTCAGAAGTACCCCCATTAGACTGAGTGTGCTCCTAAGAAAGACTCTATCCTAAACCCCAGTCAGGTTAAGCCTTGCCAGGATTGTGTTATTTGTGAAAATATGAGTATAAGAGGAAGATGTGAGGGGGTGCAACCAGAATAGGGTCATGAGGTGGGAGAACCAGAGAGGGAGAGAGAGAGCAGCCAGAAAAGGCAGAGGCCACTGTTCTGGCCAACTTTGCCAGAACATGGTAGAGTCTCAGTAGATAGGCCCAGCACACTGTGTGTTCTCAACAGATAGTCCCAAAACATATAGTTTCTCAGTAGATAGTCCCAGCACACATAGGTTCTCAGTAGACAGTCCCAGCACAATGTATGTTCTCAGTAGATAGTCCCAGCACACATAGGTTCTAGCAGACAGTCTCAGCACACAGAAGATTCTCAGTAGATAGTCTTAGCACACAGTAGGTTCTCAGCTGACAGTCCCAGCACACAATGGGCTCTCAGTAGACAGTTCTAGCACATAGTAGGTTCAGTAATAGTCCCAGCATGCAGGAGGTTCTCAACAGAGAGTCCATACATGAATGGAGTGTGTGCCCATGGTGAGTGAGCCTGGTACCACTTTCTGCCCAGGAGTGCGGGGCACCATGACAAGTGGACACCATGACAGCTGATTCAGATCTTCTTTTACCCCAGCCTATCACAGACACCCCTCTGGTCTACTGTGTTCACCCCTTTCTCACATGCAGATAACCCATTCTTTTTCTCCATTTCTTTCCACCATAGAACAATCATTATTACCTGTGGACTCTGTCCAGACCAACCAAGGATACTTGGAGCTAAGGGGCTGCTCAGTCCTGCTTGAGGTCTTCCAGACATCCATAGATGAATTGTCTAGATGATACACAAGAGAGCTCTTCACATACTGAGCTTCTCCAGGGCAATCAAATAGGGTTTCATTACCCACAGCCTTTCAGGCATAATTCCAACTCTTGCACAAAGCCAGGAACTGACTGCAGTAGACAGTACCAGCACTGTGAGGCCCCATCTCTCCAAAAACACAAGGGTGAGTCTGTGACTCTAGACACCTTTGTCTCCCTCTAGGGCAAGGTGCTGTCTGGGAAAGCTTTGGGACCACCTGATCTCAAACTCCTGGCCTCCCAAAGTGCTAGGATTACAGGCGCCTGTCACTGTGCTTAGCTACTGCTTTTATTTTCTATAAGCTCACTCTCTCACTCTCGCTCTCACTCTTGCTCTCACTTCTTATTACAGAAGCAATCATTTCTTGTCCTGGACGGGCTGGCCACAGTATCTGCCACACCACAAGGCCTTCCCAGTGATGCCTGTGCATGTGATGCCCCCACCCCCTCTGCTGGGGCAGGTCAGCTGTGGGTGGCACAGAACCAAAGGCCAGCCCGCCCTCAGCCTGCCAGATGCCTGTAGAGCGGCCACTATGAAAAGGTACTCTTGGATGCTCAGCCCCTCCACTGAGAATTGGAGCCAGGAAATACCCAGAGAAATAGAGGGCAACAGGAGCTGAAGCTGACTAGATACCAGGGGTCAGCTTGGAGAGGAGCCCTAAGGCAGAGAAAGGGCAGGCAGAGCAGGACAGGGATGAGTAAGGGGGCATGGCTCAGGGAGAGGTAGGCCATGCTGATGGTAAAGAGTTAGGTGACTCTAGGATCCTGGCTGCTCTTGGGTTCCTACAACAAATCGATTACTTGAGATAGCCCAAGTGTGTTCCTATTCCTTCTAACTCAAATAATCCTGGGGGAAAAAATCTTTTTTTAAAGAACTCATACTACCCATTGGGAGGTAACAGAATAATAACAATGGCTGAAACAAATAGGGTTTATGTTTCTAACACAAAAGAAATACAGAGAAAAGTGCATGCAGGAAGTAGTTGAGCATCTTAGCAGAGCCCTTGACCATTCCCTCACAGACACAAAATGGCTCAGCAGATCCCATCATCTGTGCATTCCAGACAGAAAGAGGAAGAAACTTAGGGCCAGCTGCAAAGGTAGAACAGATTTGCCCCACACCTTCACAGCCAACTCTGCTCAATTATGACCAGAACTGGGTCACATGGCCATATCCAGCCACAAGGAAGCTTGGAAAAGTGGGTGCAGGGGACACATCAGCCCTCAGATCTCCTCCTTAGGTGTCAGTGTGTTTTTCTTATGATGCCCTGACCTTCACCTGGGGCTCTTCTTCAGTGGACTGTCCACTGAAGCCATTTTGCCTGCACACTCATAGAGCCAGAAATGCCCAAAGGACTGACTGTTGTGAGAATATGAAAGCCCAGCTCCCCTGCTGGGACTGACTGTGGTATACCCCACCCTCCAGAGCTTCCCAGGAACCAGGTGGAGGCTGGGACTATGGGGCCTTATTTGACCTTCTCCTGGGCCTGGCCCTCTTGCTCTGCTCCTTTACAGGTCTTCATTGCCTCTATTACTGCATGCAATCACACTTCTTAGGGGCTGCTCCCAGGGAACTTGGTCTGGGACATAGGGGAGCAGGATTAGCATGATGGCTTAGATCAATCATGTCCCATTGCCTGGGTTTGGCAAAGCTGGAATTCTCTTGGCTGAGAAGGCGGGAAAGGATTCTCAGCAGGCAACTCACAGTGTCCGTAGCCATAGCTCATGAGAGGAAACATCAGAAAACAAAACTGGAGAAATTGGAACCTTCACACTGTGCCAGTGGGAATAGGAAACAGTGCAGCCATCTTGGGAAACAGTCTGGCAGTGTCTCTAAAAATTCAACATCAAATGACCATACAGCCCAACAATTCTACCGCTAGGTATGTGCCCAAGGGAAATTAAAAGCATGTGTCCACACAAAAACTCATACACTAATGTTCACAGCAGCATTATTCATAATAGAAAACAAAAAGTGGCCGGGCTCAGTGCCTCAGCCTGTAATCCCAACACTTTGGGAGGCCAAGGCGAGTGGATTGCCTGAGCCCACAGATTTGAGACCAGCCCAGGCAGCTTGGCAATACTTCATCTCTACAATAAAATCAAAAAAATTAGCTGGGCACAGTAGCACATGCCGATAGTTCCAGCTACTAAAAAAATAAAAAGTGGAAACAACCCAAGTGTCCCTCAACTGGATATCGAATGGATAAACAAAATATGGTATCCAGCCGTACATGAAATATTACTGAGCCCTTAAGAGGAACAGAGTGTTGATACATGCTACAACATGGCTGAACCTTGGAAATGTGATGCTAAATGAAGGAAGCCAGACAAAAAAGGCCACATAGTGTATGATTCCATTTATATGAAATGCCCAGAATAGGAAAATTCGAAGAGACGGGAAGTAGATTGATTAGTGGTTGCCAGGGGCTAAAGGGGTGGGGTGTGGGGATGGAGACTACTAAAGCTTCTCTTTGAGGTCTAACATTGACTCTCATGATGGTTGTACAACTCTATGAATACAGTAAAAACCATTGAATTTTATACTTTAAATGTGTGGATGATTCAGTATGTGAATTATATCTCAGCAAAGCTGTTACACACACACACACACACACACACACACACACACGCACACACATGAGCAAAGGAGAGACAGAAAAGCACTCCTAATTCTACTCTCTCAGAGACAGCCACTATTAACACCCCAGGACCAAGATGTACTTCTAGTTTCTTTGTTATTCACACCTGCATTTCACCAACATATTATCCTCTGAAGGTAATCTGCTAAAGGGTTTCATTCAAGATAAATGATCAACAAAGGCTATAAAGCCAATGTGCCCAATTTATTAGCAGTATCACCCCTGATACTGTTACTGAGTGAGATTATCATCTGTCTATTTACTTTGCCCTGATTTGTCGCCCACGTGTACTCATCCTGGGGTTCCCCCAATAGGCAGGTCAATTATCCTAGCCCTATTTTGTAGCCAAGGCAACCGAGTAGGTTTATTCATACCCATTCTGACTCCCCCCAGCTCCTAAGCTTGGGGGCTTGCAGCCTTCACGGGTGAAGAAGCTGGGGGCTGCTCAGAGAGGCTGTCCAGGTCTTGGTAGTGTGGCTGCACCTATCAGGTTTAGCCAGAAACGTCCATCCAACTTGGAAGCTAAGAGTGAGGCATGAAGTGCTCCGGAGATCCTGGTAGGTCTCTTTGAGGGGTCCATTACACCAACCTGCTGCTGTCCATGGAAAAAAAAGTCCGGGTGGGGGGTGGCAAGCCTGTTTGCCTTCGAGGCACTTAGTGCAGCCAAGCTGAGCTGCACTGTTCAAACAGTGTCCTCAGTCATCGGACACCTGTGCCAAGGAGAGGTGTGCAGGGCAGCAGTGGCCTTGGTGCAGGTCCCCGAGTACTTACTCCTCACCTGCTTCCCACCGCTGCTCCACAGCCAGCCCTACCACCCTGGCAAGGCCCTGGCCACATCATGCCTGGCACTGGGTTCTGCAGCTGCTGGGGCGGCCGGGTGCTGCCCCTGCTGCTGGCCTATGTCTGCTACCTGCTGCTCGGTGCCACCATCTTCCAGCGGCTGGAAAAGCCAGCGGAGGCTCAGTCCAGGGGCCAGTTTCAGTTTGAGAAGCTGCGCTTCCTGGAGAACTACACCTGCCTGGACCAGCGGGCCCTGGAGCAGTTTGTGCAGGTGAAGGGGGGGCTATGTGGGAATGAGATGGAGAGAACTGGGGAGGTGGGTGGAAAAGGGGTTCTCGTGGTGGTCCAGAGCCACCACCCAGGGGCTGACACTCTTTGAAAGCAGAGTGGGTGGGAACAGAGAGCCTGGTGAGACCTAGTCCTGGATTCTGGCCCCACGTCTACAACTGGATGGATGTGTGACCTTAAACAAGTCACCGCAACTCTCTGGACCCAAATGTCCTCATCTAAAAGGCGAAGAGAATAATCCTATCTGTGCTGCAGACATTGGGCAGCAGATCAAAAGCGAATGCTCGCTTGCTACATAAACTGAGCTGTGTGTCAGCAACGTCAATGCTGTCCAAATGTCCTTCCCCCAAACTTCCACAACCTACAGGGCTGTGGCTCCTTCTGCTCTCTCCCCAGCTCCTGTCCCTGGGTTGAGAGCTGCAGGTGGGGACACAGTTAAATGTCAGGAGCAGCCACCAAGCTGGCCTTCTCTGGCCTTATTCACCTGGAGCTGGGCTTGTCAGGCAGTGGCCAGGATGAATGAGCTCTACCAGCCTTGCTCCCAAGGGAAGGGCACTCTCTTGGTGGCAGAGTGGGTCATCCCCTGCCTGGCCTCTTCTGCTTCTGCCTCTCCCAGATAAAAGGCAAAAACAGAGGCTGTGGGGGAAGGTGAATACATTTGTGACCCGAGGTCAAGTGAGTGACAGCATCCACTGCAAAAGGACAGAACAAGTGCAGAATCATCATGGTAACTGACATTTATTGAGCACTTATGATGTGCCTAAAAAAATGGGGAACAGGGTCATCATGACCGGCTTAATCTAGTCACAACCCATTACCTGACACTGAGCATTTCACTGGTGTTTCTTCATAATTACCTGTCACTATCACTGTCTCCAGTGTGTTGATGGGGACTGAGGCAGTATGCTGACCAAGACTGCCCAGTGACTGGTGTTGACAGAACTTGCACCCAGGCCTCTGGTCATGAAGCCCTGGTTCTTCACCACACAAACTAGCATAATTGCTGGGGACAGGCTACAGATTAGAGGTTCTCAAAGTGCATCCCTGGATCAGGAGCATCAGCTTGTTAGAAATGCAAATACAGACTGGGCATGGTGGCTCACACCTGTAATCCCAGCACTTTGGGAGGCAGAGGTGAGAGGACTGCCTGAGCCCTTGGGTTCCAAACCAGCCTGGGCAACTTGGCAAGACCTCATCTCTACAATAAATTTTTTTTTTAAATTAGCTGGGCATGGTGGTGCATGCCAGTAGTTCCAGCTACTTGGAAGGCTGAGGCTAAAGGATAGCCTGAGCCCAGCAGGTTGAGGCTGCAGTGGCCGTGTGCGTGCCACTGCGCTCCAGTCTGGGTGACAGAGTGAGACTCCAACTCAAAAAAAAGAAAAGGAAATATAGAGCCGGTTGTGGTAGTTCACGCCTATAATTCCAGCAATTTAGGAGGTTGAGGTGGGAGGATCACTTGAGGTCAGAAGACCAGCCTGGACAACATGGTGAGACCTCATCTCTGCAAAAAATAAAAATAAAAAAATCAGAAATGCAAATAAAGTCCCCTCCATCACCTTCTGATTCAGGAACTCCAGGGCCAGCAGCTATGTGTTAATAAGCCCTCCGGGTGATGCTGAGTCCCCCTCAAGATTGAGACTAGCTGGCCTAGAAGATGGTGTGCGGACAGGATGGCCAAGGAGAACTTTCTGCAGCTGTCAAGGACCTGCTCGGCTTTTTCTTTCAGGAAATGAGGCCTCCAGCTTCAGGCTTCACTTTCCCTCTTGTAGGTAGGGTTAGTTAGGGTTGGGGCTATAGTACCCACATCAGGGTTGAGAAAGGTTCAGTAGCCTCCCAGAACCCCAGGGAGTGAGGCAGAAGCCCTTGACAAGCTGAAACCTCCCCTTCTCTCAGCCCTTGGTTAGAGGTGAAACCCCACAGCCGGAGGGCAGAGACTGTGGGAAGGTTTGAAGGCTGGGATCTAACTCACTCTGTAAACCAAGGAGGAAGGCCATCAGCTTGACTGTAACCCCAAGGGGGCATCACTGATTAACTTCCCAAGAAAGACAGGCCCTCCCTTTCCCTGAGAGAGTCCTGAGCCCCGAGAGAGACCCATACTTGCTGCGGGAAGTCGAGCCGGGAGGTAGAAGAACGTTGGGGTGAGACTCTGGGAGAACACACCTTACTGTTGAAATCACACACAGCTGTAAACCGTATTAAAAGCAGCATTACAAATGGTCTCCATGGGGACACACTGTTTGCCAGGTTCACAGAGCCAGAAGTCCACCTCTTTCTCCAGCATGGGTGGATTCTTAGGAAAATGCCAATATGGCACCCACATCCACCCGAGGACAGTCGAACCCTCACCCACGGCACGGCCCTCTCTAGCAGGATGGAGGGTGGCCCAGGACCAGGGCGGTTGCTGCCCCCAAGAGTGAGAGTCTCCAGAGAGCAGGCCTGTTGGGAAATGTTTGGCCCCAGCATCTCTGGGTGTGTGGGAAAGGGAGGGAGGCCTAAGTCCACATCTAAAGAGGCCAGCTCCTGCCAAAGTGAGGAGAAACAGACAGTCTGTGACAGAGGACGCCAGGACTGATCCAGCTCACCAGGGCCACCCTGTTCCCAGCACACTGACCCCAATCAGTGGTAGCCGGTTCCCACAGGAATAGGCAAGCAAAGCCGACAGGCCCCACCAAAGCCACAGGCCTCCCCTACCCTCAGGGCTCTACCAGGTGGCAAGGCTGTGCTGTTTTGCCTGAACAATTCACAGCTGAAAGGGAGAGAGTTGGGCAGGAGAGGAGAGAGCCTGCCCATCCTCCCAGAGGGCTGGGCCCGAGGACTGGGGGCGAGAGGCAGAAATGTTAGGCTTGAGGCCACAACAGGTCAGGTGCTATAAACATACAGGCAACACACAAATACACACATGTGCTACATACAGTAACCACACACACACCACACATGTATACAACACACCACACATATGCACCAACCACCACACACACACACACACACACACACACACACACAGACACACACATACCCAGGCCTTTGTCCTGGTCTCCGATGGAATTTCTCCCATAGGTATGGGCTGGGGCTCACTAGAGGGCAGCAAAGGGCAAGGCTGCCTGCTCACCTGGGCATTCTGTCCCCGTTCTCTGCCTCTTGGGCAGGCAGCCCCATGGCTCCCCTGTGGTCCCCAAACCCCATGTTCCCCAGCCAACTTTTCCGGCACATTCAAACTGAGCCCCCCACTCCATGGTTCTCACAACCCATTTGCATGTCACCCTCTTGGCCATTATCAGTTTCTCCCACCTGCACCCTATCCTCAGCATCCTTCACCTCAGTCCTTAGGCCCATTCCTCTACCAGTCCCTGCTCATAGCCCACATCTCAGTCAACCCTGGCCAGTGAAACAGGCACTGGACTTGGATTCCAATGACCTTGGACAAGTCACTCAGCCACTTCTAGCCTTCATGTCCTATTCCATGAAATGGGAACATACTAAGAGTATCATTAACCAAGATGACACAAAAGCAGCCTGCCAAGAGCATGATGACAGATGGTGCTCAGTAACCATCAGCTCCCTCTTCCTCCCCCGCCGTGCCACCCTCCACAGGTCATCATGGAAGCCTGGGTGAAAGGTGTGAACCCCAAAGGCAACTCCACCAACCCCAGCAACTGGGACTTTGGCAGCAGTTTCTTCTTTGCAGGCACGGTCGTCACCACCATAGGTAAAGAGCGGGGGTAGAGAAGGGTTTCCCAAGGCCCCTGTCTTCCCTTGGGTTCCCCAAAAGCAGATGCCGAGACAAGGATGTGGTTTAACTAGGAGACGAGCCAGGAAGCACAGGCAGGGAGTGGGAAGAGAAACAGGAAGACAAAATTTGCATTAGTAAGCAGGCTAGGCCAAGTGCAGTGACTAACGACTATAATTCCAGCACTTTGGGAAGCCGAGGTGAGAGGATTACCTGAGCTCACGAGTTCAAGACCAACCTGGGCAACTTGGCGAGACCTCATCTCTACAATAAATCAAAAAATTAGCTGAGCATGGTGACACAGGTCTGTACTTGGAAGGCTGAGGTGGAAGGATCAACTGAGCCCAGCAGGTTGAGGCTGTGGTGGCTGTGAGCGTGCCACTGCACTCCAGCCTCGGCAATAGAGTGAGTCTCTGCCTCAAAAAAAAAGAAAAAAAGTAACCAGGCTACTGGTTTGGGAGACTGGGATCACTTCTGCATGGGACCCTCTGAGAGGCCAGGTAGAGCCCATCCTCAGAACAGTCCCAGGAAGGTACAAGAATGAGGAGCTATCCAGCCACCAATTTCTGCCTTCACTAGTTGAGAGCTGATCCTGGGTGTGTTAACTCTCTCACATTTTGAACCTGCCCACAGACCAAGTACACTCCTGCAGCCAGAAAAATCTCTCAGGCAGCGAGAGATGCAGGGACTCGGTGGGGGGGGGGTCATCTGTATACAGGAATTGTCCACCAAAGTTGCAGGCAGTATCCCGGGTGTTCCAAGAGGACGATGCACCGTCACCGGCAGCTATACTCCCTCAGCCAGAAAACCCACTCTATTCCTCCTCCAGTGAAGCCTCCAGGCCCCTTCTAAACTAGGCTGCTCCCACCCATTCCATTAAGTCCAATTCTGCACGCCTTCCTTGGGCTCAAGTAACATTCCAGGCAGAGTGATGGAGTGGGAGGTTTGAAAACACAAACTTGGATCACACCCAGGCTCAGCCCTCAAGGAGCTTCCAACCCAATAAAGAGAGACACAATAAGTACACTAAAAACAATAAGGCAAAGTAGATAATTAAGTAGGAATGACACAAAATACTTTAGGGCATCATGCTTAGCAGGGAGGAGGAGAGTGGTGGTGAGGAGGGCTTCATGGAGGCAATGTCATTGGAGATGAGCTTTCAAAGAGGAACAGAATTCCTATAAATAAAAATCATTCTAGCAGAGTTCACGGGAACAAAGGAGCTTCTCCACTGGCCCCGCAGAGGTGGTGGGAGACAAACCTCTGCTGGAGTCTGGGAGGAGGAGTGGGTACCATTCTGGACATTCCCTTTCCCATATTTGCACACTCCTTCTTCCCTTGCAGGATATGGGAACCTGGCGCCTAGCACAGAGGCAGGTCAGGTCTTCTGTGTCTTCTACGCCCTGGTGGGCATCCCGCTCAACGTGGTCTTCCTCAACCACCTGAGCACAGGGCTGCGTGCCCACCTGGCCACCCTGGAGAGGTGGGAGGACCAGCCCAGGCGCTCCCAGGTATGGCCCCTCCCCTTTACAGCCCTGCTGTGGCAGATTTGTCCTCAAAAGGTTAAGTCCTCAGAAGCAGACGTTCAGGCGGAGTTTGGTGTGCAGGGTGTTGAGGTAGATACTGTGGAAGAGAAGGGGCAGATGCAGGAGCTAGCAGAGAAAGGAGCTGATTCTGATACAGGCTGGACAAGGGTTTGGCCTTAAGGAGCTCAGCAGCATGGGTGGCCGTCAGAGTTGTCCTGCAGGGGGCTGAACTAGCCAGGCTTCAATACCTGCCTCCTGGGCCAGGTGGTTTCCTGCAGCCAAAGAACACCCTGGAGGACTGGCCACTGGCCAATGGTCCTCCTCTGTGGGGGATCTGGGCAGCGCATGCCCATGGTCATCACAGAACTCCAACATCCCTTCATGCTGTGGAAGACCAGCTCCAAGTCACCCACCATGCCCCAGTGCCCACCCCTGGTCAACCCCTTGCAAGGCCAGAGGCACACCAGGAGGGCAGAGCAATCTAGGACAGTTCAATGACAGTTCTCTGTTCCAGATCTGAGTCCCCAAGGAGCCACTTCAAGTGTCAACCCCAAGACCAAAAGGGTTTCCAAATCCTTCCTTGACCCACAAATGCAATCCCTCTCATTCCCTGGGCGAGGCAAGATCTCACACACACTTGGCTACAATCCCCATCCCAAAGGTCTACAGGGCAGAGACGGGATCTAGCTTTGCTCCAGACTCCCCATGACTCCATACAATCCCGGAGCCTTTCAAGGGACTGAGTGGCAGCCTCCCTCCCTTCCAGCTACTGCAGGTCCTAGGCCTAGTTCTGTTCCTGACCCTGGGGACACTGGCCATTCTCATCTTCCCTCCCATGGTCTTCAGCCGCGTGGAGGGCTGGAGCTTCCGCGAGGGCTTCTACTTCGCTTTCATCACCCTCAGCACCATCGGCTTCGGGGACTATGTTGTCGGTGAGAATGAGACAGTCACATATCTCAGGGTGGGGGAGGTCTGGGATTTGGGGGGATGGGGAGATGTCAGCCGAGGATACCTATGGAGGATCAGATCACCCCTGGCTATTCAGGGGAGCCACACGATTTCTGGGGCTCCTATGGATTCTCAGCAACGTCCTCGGAAGTCTCTGGTGTGGGACCCATCGCCATTTTCCCCAGAGTCCTCCATTGTTGATCCTCATTATGAGCAAGAGAGAGAGAATGTATCCTGTATGGGGAGAGAAGCTGGGGGTGACTGTGCCCTCGGATTCCTGGCATTGATGCCGTCCCCTTCCCTGGCAGGCACGGACCCCAGCAAGCACTACATCTCAGTGTACCGGAGCCTGGCGGCTGTCTGGATCCTCCTGGGCCTGGCGTGGCTGGCACTGGTCCTCCCACTGGGTCCCCTGCTTCTACACAGGTGTTCCCAGCTCTGGCTGCTCAGCAGGGGCCTCGGCCTCAAGGACGGGGCAGCCCCTGACCCCGGTGGGCTCCCCCGACCTCAAAAGATCCCCATCTCTGCATGAGGCTCCTGAGTGGCCCCAACAGCCTCTCCCCTCCTCCCCAGCCCACCCACGTGCTTCTGGATTTCCTGCCCTGCCCCTGCCTCTCCCAACCCACTCGGTTCTCAGCTGGTGCTGGTCTCAGAAGTCCTCCAGAAAGAGAAAGAAGATGGGTGTGTCCAAGAAAGTAACACAGGAGATGTAGAGACAGGATCAGAGGTGTGTGTGTGGACTGGACATTCACCTGCCACTCCCTTCCCCTCAAAGGTAGCTGAAAAGCTGAATCTAGTATGGGTCATCGTAGTCAGATCTCCATTGCTCTCCCCACAACCCCACCCAGAAGACGTTATACAGACAACAAAAGAAGGGTGATTTTATCTGTGTCTCGTTTAACTTGTGCACAACATGCACTTGTCAAGTCCCCACTATGTGCCAGGTACTGTGGCAGCCTCAGAGAATCCAGCACTGGAAGTTCCTGCCCTTGCTGTGCCTTTAGTCACGTGGAAGGACTAGACAAGTAGAGAGGTAGCCCCGACACAGGGCCCAAAATGCTATGATGGACGCAGACCCAGGGATGATGAGAGTCCATGGGAGTGGCCGGTAGGGAGGGTCAAGGAGAGAGGAGGACCAGGCAGAGACTTTGGAACAAACTTGGTGAAAACAGGATATCGATCCTCAGGAAGCTCTCAGCCAAGGGGCAGGCAGGCTGCTTCCCGAAGTTTGACAGCTCCCCTTGCCTAGCAGTCTAGGACCATCCGTGAACGGAGCTTAGGACCTCTTGGGTGCCCCATCCACTTTCCTGGACATGCCCTCCCCTGACCACCATCATTCCCTTCAGGCTCCTGCCTTATGAGACTTTCCAGACACACCCTGGGAAGTCAGAAAGCCAGCAGATCCCAGGAGCATTCCAGAAAATGAGCTGCACTGGAAGTCTGGCCTCCCTTGGGAACATGCTCTCTCCAGGCCTGGCCTTTTTCCTGCCAGACTGCAACATCTCTGGCCAGAAGGAGAGGAAAGAGTTTGGCCAGTCCACCCCAAGGTCCAGTCTCACCAAAAATTGGAAACTTTGACCCCTACCTCTCTCACCACCCAGCAGCATGTAGGCTCACAAGTGGCTAGGTCCTCAGCACAGGTCTGGGGCAGGGCTGTGGCACAGAGGAGGCTTCAGACAGGAGACCCAGGGAGGGACCTACAGCAGCAAGAGAAATCCAGGTCACATCCCAGGACTTCCTGACATCCAAGAGGAGACTGGGAAACTGAGGACTTGTGGACTCTTTGCACATCCTGGATCCTTCAGGAATTGACAGCAGGAATTGACAAGTCCCCTGGTCAGGGCACCTCTTGCCTCCCAAGCTCATGGACATGTGGCAATCAGCTGGGCTCCCTCTTTGGGGATACACAAAGCAAAAGACAATGGTGGGGAGTTCGAGGACCCGACAGACAGCAAGTCCTTGGAGACAGTTGCTGGGTCCAAGGACTTAGGCAGGACCCCTCAGACAATAAACTTGGCTTCTACTTTCTCTTCCCCCTGAGTGTGGTTTTCAGGAGTCCCTCCAGCTGTTGGTGGCAGGAAATGCTGGGGGGCTCTGGGCCCCTTCCCTCTCAACACCTGCAGTCACCCAGCATCCCTCTCCTTCGGCCTCGGCCTGGGAGGTGGGCACTCCACACACATTTGAGGCGGGGCCAGATGCCCACAGCTCAGAGCTTCTTTTTGTCCCTGGATTGGATCCAGGGCCGGGTGGGGCAGGGCTGTCAAGTTCCCCCAGTTCTCCTCCTCTCCGGGGGAAACCGGGCGCAGGCAGGCGTTTGCTAAAGAAGGAACCAGCCGGGCTCTTGGCCCTTTCTTCCCACCTCGGTCCTTGCCCACGACTTTGGGCTCGGCTCCCTGCCTCTCCCGCGATGCCCGGACCGCGAGCCCGGCCGGTGCCCGAGGACAGGGTCCGGGGCTGCGCGGTGCCGAGCACCCTGCTCCTGCTGCTCGCCTACCTGGCCTACCTGGCGCTGGGCACCGGCGTGTTCTGGGCGCTGGAGGGCCGCGCGGCGCAGGACTCCAGCCGCAGCTTCCAGCGCGACAAGTGGGAGCTGCTGCAGAACTTCACGTGCCTGGATGGCCCGGCGCTGGACTCGCTGATCCGGGTCAGGGGCGAGCGGGGCCAGCCCCGGCGCCGCTGGGCGGGGCAGAACTGGGGGGG